ATCTCAGCAAAGAAGTAAAATATCAAAAGAATCAAATGGAAATATTAGGGAATAAAGAGTGTGATAACCAAAAAAACTGTATCAATAAGCTCACTAGATGGGCTCTGAGATGCCAGAGCCGAATCACTGAACCCGATGACAGATCAATAAAAATCACTCAATTTGAACAACAAAGAGAAAGGAGATTGAACAAAATAGAGTCACAGGGACCTGCGGGGCCGTAAAAAACAATCACTGGAGTCCCAAAAAGAGAGAAGAAAGAATGGTGCCGAAAAAAATATTTGAGGAAATAATGACTGAATATATCCTATGTCTGGTAAGAGACTTAAACCTACAGATTTAAGAAAAGTAAGCAAAACCCATTTTTTTTAATACTTTTGAGGACAAGCCCTCAAAAATCCAGGTACTTTGCGGGGCACCTGAGTGGCTCAGTGCTTGAGCATTCAACTTCGGCTCAGGTCACGATCTCGCGGTTTCGCAAGTTCAAGCCCAGAATCAGGCTCTCTGTTCTCTGCTGTCAGCACAAAGCTGGCTTCAGATATTCTGTCCCTCTCTCTCTCCCCTCCCCACAGTTGCACTCTCTCAAAACTAAATAAACATTAAAAAAAATTATAAAACAAAAAAATCCAGGCACATCGTCACCAATCTTTGAAAAGCAAAGAAAAAAATATTTAAAGCAGCCAGACAGAAATAACACCTTACCTATGGGGGAACAATTCGAATGACAGATTTCTCATCAGAAACCAGAGAAGAGAGAAGAACTGGGGCTCTCAGAAATGAGACCCAAAGCGCAACTCATTAAAAAAAAAAACTATAAACCGAACTTCATTAAAATTAAAAACTTCTGCTCCGCAAAAGACATTGTTAAGTGATTGAAGAGACAAGCTACAGACTAGAAGAAACTAATTAGATATCTGACAAGGGACATGTATATGTAGGTATAGAAACAACTCTCTCAACACAGTAGAGAGAAAACAAAACCCCAGGTTTTTTTAAATTTTTTTTTAATGTTTTTATTTATTTCTAGGAGAGAGAGAGAGACAGCATGAGCAGGGGAGGGTCAGAGAGAGAGGGAGTCACAGACTGAAACAGGCTCCAGGCTCAGAGCTGGCAGTCAGCACAGAGCCCGACGCGGGGCTCGAACCCACGAACCGCGAGATCATGACCTAAGCGAAAGTCGGACGCTTAACCAAGCCACCCAGGCGCCCCAAAACTCCAGTTTTAAAAATGGGCAAAAGAACAGGGGCTAGTGGTATGGCAGATATGCACATAAAAAGATGTTCCACATAATTAGCCATTAGAGACATATAAATTAACAGCATAAGAAAGATGCGACTACATGGCTAGCAGAATGGCTTAAAAAAAAATAACGGTAATTGTTTTGAATTATTTTTAATTCATTCATTTTAATTATGTGGGGTAACTGAAACTCTCATTCGGTGCTGGTGGAGGTGTTAAAATGGCACAGCCACTCTGGAAATCAGTTCGGCAGTTTCTTACACACATATGTGCGTCACAGGACTCAACGGCAATTTCACCCCCGGGCATTTTCCCTTGAGAAATGAGACCTTACATTCGTGCAAAACCCCTGTACCCGAATGTTTACAGCAGCTCTATTCCCAACTCCTGAAAACTGGAGAGAACCCAAACGTCCTTCTCTGGTCATGCAGATAAACAGACTGTTGTATATTCATATAATGGGTTACAACACAACATTAAAAAGGAACAAACCACGGATATATTTAATAACATGGACAGACCTCAGTAGAATTATGCTGAATGGAAAAAAACCAACCTCAAAAGCTTCCATTTACATAACATTCTTGAGGTGACAAAATGATGGTAATGCAGTGATTGGTGGTTTGCGAGGATTCGGGGAGGGGGAAGCTATTTGAATGGAGGGCACAAGATAGTTTTGGGGGCCCCGTAACTCTCGGTAACTGTGGAGAGGTGGCTAACTAAATCACACATGTGTTCAAAGTCAAAGAACTATGTACCCCAAAACAGTTCATGTTCCTCTATAATTTAAGAAATAAAATTAATAAATCGAAAAATATATTCTGTTTTATTTGGTTATTCATTTGGTAACATCATTACTTTTCCAAAAACGTCCATTATTGACAGATGTCATTTACACTGTTGGTGAAATGAGCCTTTGGCAACTGGCCTGGGAATCTAAATACAACTTACCACGATATTTTCAGGGGGGAAAAAAAAAAGCATTTTGCATTTCCACCTTTACTTCACGGAGAAGGATGATGACTCAAAGTCAAAGAAGCAAGACGGGGCCCAACTAAGACTAACAAGGGGGATGGGGGCCGAAAGGAGAGCTGTGTGCAGCAAACAGGGTCAGCGCCAGTGAGTGGGGGTGGGTCCCCGGGGAGAGAGGAAAGGACAGATGTCCTAAGAGAGAAAACATTGAGCCTGCAAGGAGGTTGAGCTTTTAATCAGCGGCTTATTTATCTGAAAGGGGCTGAAGAAACTGTATCAAAAAGAAAGAGATTGATCTTTTCAGTCACCAAATGTTAGCGTGGCTACTCTAGGCCACCTGTCTCCCTCTGCTGGGGCTACCTATACAGACCACCACAGACTGGGGGACTTAAAAACAACGGAAACCATTTCTCACAGTTCTGGGAGGGCTGAGAGGTCCAAGATCAAGGCCCCAGCAGATCCCTTGTCTGGTAAGAACCACTTCTTAGCTCATAGACGGCATCTTCTCGCCTGGACCTCACACGGCAGACTGGGCGAGGGGGTTCTCTGGGGTCTGATTCATAAGGGCACTAATCCATTCCTGACGGTTCTACCCTCATGGCCAAACCACCTCCCAAAGGCCCCCACCTCCTCCAATCACAGCACTGAGGGTTAGAATACGAATATAAGAATTTGAGTGACGACATAAGCATTCAGTCCATTGCACCACCCGTCAGTAGTTAAGGGGGCGCCAGGGCAAGATGCAGTAAATTCCAGATGTAAATTTTTTTTTCTTTTTACAGTAAATACGCACACATACGGTATTTGTGCCGGGTGGATGAGGACCCCAAGGAGGTACCCAAGCGGCTGCTACCACGAGGTCTGGCTATGAACACAATGGGTCAAGTACAAGGTCAGCCTACCTGTTGTGGTGATCCTTCTGCCGACACTGTTTCAAGGTGCTTCCTGTCCACAGGTTCAGAGCCACGCTTGGGAAAACCAGCTGATCTTTCCCTGCAAGAAGTTTCCGCGTGGGGGCCCGGGAGGGGGCGTGGCCGTGTCCAGCTCCATGAACCCAAGGGCCTGCAGGGCCTGAATGCAGATTCTGCCAAAAGACTGCACTTTGTGCCGGAGGTTATCCGCGTCCACGAGAGAGCAGCCTGGAGCCCGAGCCGGAGCACAGAGTGAAAAGCTCTGCAGGAAACGAAGCTAATCCCGCAGGCTCCCGGCTTCCGACGCACGCTCACGCGAGGCGTCCGAGGAGGTCATCCGGGGGACAGGACTTCCGGTTCGCCCTCGCACAAGCAGCGGTTCCTACCCCCTCCCCTGTCCTTGAACTGTGAGCACAGCCCACCATTGCCACACTAGGAGCCTCTCAAGGACGCAGCCCAAGGGAGGGAGGTGCTGGCCGGTACCACGACCGAACCCGGTTTCGGCCTCCGTGTAAACTGCTAAGATTCTGGCTGCAGGTGCGCAGATTTATGGCTCTTCTAAGTTCCCGGGCGTAGTAAACCCACCACCTAGGATCTGGGGTCTGGCGTGGCCGGCCTCTTGCTTCCCCCTGGCGCCCCTCCCCCCGCACCTCCCCACCGTGCAGAGGCTGGTTTCGAATTTTACCTGGGGATCCCCTGAAGTTTCAAACCAGCACAAAATCAACGCACATCATCTGTTGCCTTAGATGGTTGGCGTGGGGCACCCGGGTGGCTCAGTCTTAAGCCTACAACTTCAGCTCAGGTCTTGATCTCGTGGTTTGTGAGTTTGAGCCCGGAATTGGGCTCTGTGCTGACAGCTCAGAGCCTGGAGCCTGCTTCGGATTCTGTGTCTCCCTCTCTCTCGGCCGCTCTCCCCACACATGCCTTGTCTCTCTCACCTTCAAAAATAAACGTTTTTTAAAAAATTTTAGAAGAGATGTTTGGGCTGCTGTGGTGCCCTAGCGCTTTGGCCAGGAGCAGGTGGGGACCAAGCCGCTCAACACTGTGCCTGCCTGTGAACAGTTTCCTCCAGCAGCAGCAGCAGGTGCTGAAGGCGGTGGGGCCAGGGAGAGCCCAGGTCTGGCCACGACTGAGCCCACAGCTGCCCACACCAGGGCTGGGTCCAGACTCTCTGACTCAGTGCAGACACCCATGGACCAGGGTGCATTTCTTTTTTTTTTTTTTTTTAATGTTTTTTTTATTTCTGAGAGAGAGAGAGAGAGACAGCATGAGCAGGGGAGAGTCAGAGAGAGGGAGACACAGAATCTGAAACAGGCTCCAGGCTCTGAGCAGTCAGCACAGAGCCCAAGGCGGGGCTCGAACCCACAAACCGTGAGATCATGACCTGAGCCGAAATCGGATGCTCAACCGACTGAGCCACCCAGGCACCCCCAGGGTGCATTTCTGCAGACTCAGTGGACACATGTGATTCTGCAAGTGCCAGGACACTCTTGGATTGAAACAGTGGAGTTTAAATCCCTTCATCTGGGGGCACTCAGTCAGTTAAGCCTCCGGACTCTTGGTTTTGGCTCAGGTCACAGTCTCACAGTTTGTATGTTCAAACCCTATGTTGGGCTGTACGCTCATAGCACAGAGCCTTTTTGGGATTCTCTCTGTTTCTGTCCCTCTGCCTCATCTCTCTCTCAAAAATAAATTTAATAAAACTTAAACAATAAATCCCTTAGTCTTGAATGTGAGCTGAAGCTAATAACTTTCGTGACTCCTTTTCAACAAACAGATGTGGTGTAGGTGATGGTATATGACTTAGGATGTTAGGTCATAAAGAACATACAGCCCAGTGCCTCTCTCTCTCCTCCCCTCCACATTGTCCTGGGGTGAGACAGCCACCATGCCATGAGGCGTTTCAGAAGCCCTGCAGAGAGGCTCACACAGACATGCCTTGAGGCTTTCCATCAACAGCCAGCACCGCTGGGAGTGGAGTGAGCGCGTGGAAGGGCCACCCTCCAAGTGGATTCTCCTGCTGCAGCCAAGCCTTCAAACGACCACAGGTCCAGCTAACATATTACACCCCTCAGGAGAAACCCCAAGCCAGTGGGACACCTGCGGGGCTCAGTCAGTTAAGCATCCGACTCCTGATTTCAGTTCAGGTCACGATCTTACAGTTCATGGGTTGGAACCCTGCATCCGGGTCTGTGCTGACAGTGTGGAGCCTGCTCAGGGTTCTGTGTCTCCCCCTCTCTGTCTGCCCTTCCCCTTCTCAAAATAAACAAACTTTTTTTTAAATATTTTATTTATTTTTAGGAGAGAGAGAGAGAGAGAGACAGCGTGAGCAGGGGAGGGTCAGAGAGAGAGGGAGTCACAGACTGAAACAGGCTCCAGGCTCTGAGCTGGCAGTCAGCACAGAGCCCTTCGCGGGGCTCGAACCCACGAACCGCGAGATCATGACCTAAGCGAAAGTCGGACGCTTAACCGACTAAGCCACCCAGGCGCCCCTAAACAAACATTTTTAAAAAAACAAAAACAAGGAAAAAACAGAGACTCCCCCAGCCGGAACAGCCCAGCCAAGCTGCTCCTGAATTCCTGAGCCACAGAAATGCTGAGGGATAATAAACGAGGATTGCTGCTTTGTGTTCCTAAGTCACACAGCATTAGATAACTAGTGCAGAGTCCGTATGCATCAGCCTGCATATGAGTTATTTAATTCTTATTTAATTATTTAATTATCTTAAATTCTTTACAGAACTTATTTAATTCTCTTAAAGTGCAACATCTCATTTTACAGATCAGCAACCTGCTGCCTGGAATTATTGAAGAGCTGATCACGGTCATGGAGCTAATTTACAGCCAAGCTGGAATTCACACGCAGGCCATGCCGTACAGGTCATCCGAGTGAGTGTCAGGCATTGGAGACGCAGACGTGAAAACAGGTAAGTGAGGCCTTGATCAGAGACAGAGGGTATGGAACAGAAGGGTCATCAGGCTCAGCTGGAAGAAATGAAAGAACTCAATTAGCAAATCCAGTAGGGTGAGGAGTAAGATCTCGGGCAAAGAGAAAAGCGAAGCAGATGAGAAAAGGGCAGAACAAGGGAATGGTTTGTATTCTTTTAATGGCAAATGAGAGGGCGGCCCAGAACACAGCGGGAATCCGTCAAAGTGGAGAAAGAGACTTTGGCAAAGCTAGCCTGCTCATTTTCCGTCTCTCATTTTCTGTCACCCTGGCAATAGGACCTCCACCCTGTAGTAATGGTATTTAAATGAGAAGAGTGTCTACAAATGAAGTAACTTGCAGTTTTATTGGTGCTAAGGTTCACATTCCTCAAGTTAGCTCCACCTTATCCGGAGATCGCCTCCGAGCAAATCTGAGAGTTTTGTTCCAGAAAAAGAATGAAACCCTAAAAGGGAAGGAACATGAAGAGTACGACAAGGACTTGGCCTTGGCTTCCCGGGAAGGTCTTCCATAAACCACTGATCTGTTTCTTTCTCCCATAACTCTGAAGGAGTCAGGGTTAAGTCATAAAGGTTGCAATTTTCCAAGCCTGATGTGCTCTGGCTTTAATGCTGAGGGAAATCCTAGAACTCAAGGCCCGGGGCTGGCCAGCCAGTCACTCCCAGGGCTCTGTGTAAGGGGTCGGAAGCCCCCACGTGCCATGCTGCTCTACCTGCTTTGGCCATTTTTGCAGAGAACTGGGCTGCCCACAAAAAGTGTATTTGTTTCCTAGGGCTGCCTTGCTGAGTAACAAACTGAGTGGCTTAAAAGAACAGAAATGTCTTATCTGAGGTCTGGAGCCCCGATGTCCAAAATCAAGGGCTGATCAGGGCCATGTGTCTCTGAAGGCTCATGTGGTGGGCGGGGGGGGTCCTTCCTTGACTCCCCCTGGTTTCTGGTGGTTTGCTGGCAATACTGGCTTGCAGTTACAGTCCTTCACCCTCCATTGTCACATGACCGTCTTCTCCGCATGTGCCTTTGTGTCATCTCATTAGGAAATCAGTTGTGTTAACATATAGGAGGATTAGGAGGAACTTAACGGAGGACCGGAGGACCGCGGGGGAGAAGAAGGGGGAAATGGTGGGGGAGAGGGAGGGAGGCAAACCATGAGAGACTCTTGAATGCTGAGAACAAACTGAGGACTGATTGGTGGGGGGGGGGGGGGGGAGATGGGCATGGAGGAGGGCACTTGTGAGGATGAGCACTGGGTGTTATATGGAAACCAACTTGACAATAAACTATTTGTAAAAAAAAAAAAATAAAAATAAAAAAGTAAAAAGTAGGGGCGCCTGGGTGGCTTAGTTGGTTAAGTGTCCGACTTTCGCTTAGGTCATGATCTCGCAGTTTGTGGGTTCGAGCCCCGCATCGGGCTCTGTGCTGACTGCCAGCTCAGAGCCTGGAGCCTGTTTCAGTCTGTGACTCCCTCTTTCTCTGACCGTCCCCTGCTCACGCTGTCTCTCTCTCTCTCTCCTAGAAATAAATAAAACATTAAAAAAAAAATTTTTAAAAAAAGTAAAAAGTAAAAATAAGAAACTTAACTGAAAAAAAATTAAATTAAATTAAAAAAAGGAAATCAGTCATGTTAGATTAGCGACCTCATCGTAACATGATTACATCTGCAAAGATCCTCCTGCATAGTAAAGGCACATCCTGAGGCATTGTGGGTAAGGATTTCAATGTAAGACTTTGGCTGGGGGGAAGCATTCACCCCATGACAGAAAGGGAGCAGAATCCAGACTCAACGAAAATAGACCAAAGGAGAAATGACCCCGAATGAATAGCCCAAGTTGATTCACACTCTATATGTACCCACCTGCACTCCTGTGACAGTCCTTCCTTTGTCTGGGCCCGTCACTTGCAGTCCCCACAACATCACAGTTCACCTCAGAGATAAGGTGCCAGACAAAGAATGAGACGACTCAGCCTGACTCTGCTGCTGACCGAGCGTGACTTTCCCAAGCTGTCCACCTGATCAGTGACCTTCAAGCGAGTGTCCCTCAAACACACAGCAGCTCATGGGTCACTTGAGCTTTCGTGAGGCGTTCACACTGGGCAGGAGTTTCAACTCCTCAAACAGATGCTCTTAGCTCCCATCGTGACACCTGCCACTCAGCCTTCTGGAAAACAACAGGCAAAGAGGACGCCCATCCACAAATACTTAGAGGACGATCTGGAAATGGCACACATCCTTCCTGGGCACATCCCATTGTCCGGAACTCAGCCATCCGGTCACACTCAAAAGCCAGGAAGGCTGGGTGGCCATGTATTGAGCTAAAATTCAGGAGTTTCAGGGCACCTGGGTGGCTCAGTCAGTTAAGCATCTGACTCTTGATTTTGGCTCAGGTCAAGATTTCATGGTTGATGGGATCTAGCCTTACATAGGGCTCTGAGCTGACAGCATGGAGCCTGCTTGGGATTCTCTATCTCACTTGCTCTCTGCCCCTCCCCCATTCTCTCTCACATGCTCTCTCTCTCTCTCTCTCTCTAAATAAGCTTCAAAAAACATTTGTAAATTACAAAAATAAAAATCAGAAGTTTATTATGCAAAGTAAAAAGGCAAGGATATTAGTGGAAACCTGTCACATACTTTATATATATATATATATATATATATGTATTTTATATTGTGAACGTTTTCTGTGTCACGATCTTTAAAAATATTATTTTAACCTTTGCATAGTTTCAACCCACTATTATATAGTTGTATAAAAATTTACATCATTATTTCCCTCTTACTGGACATTTGTAATGTTAACTTTTTCACAGCATAAATACTGGTGGAAAGAACAAAGTCACTAATCTTTTTTTATTTATTTTTTTAGTGTTTATTTTTGAGAGAGAGAGACAGCACAAGCGGGGGAGGGGCAGAGAGAGAGAGGAAGACACAGAATCCAAAGCAGCCTGTGCTGTGTCAGCTGTGCTGACAGCTCAGAGCCTGAGACAGGGCTCGAACCCACACATGGGGAGATCATGACCTGAGCCAAAGTCAGATGCTTAACCAACTGAGCCATCCAGATACCCACCCCCTCTACCATCAACTGTATTTGTATACTGCTTTACAATTTGCAAATACTTAACCACGTACCATCTCATTGGCTGGCTTCCACAGTGATTTTTCTGCAACAACAAATCTGACACTACATGACTTAAACCCTTTGAAGTATCCAGGACACACTCAGATTCAAGTCCAAATTCCTTAATATGATTTATAAGTCTCGATGACTGCCATACCAATTAGTTTTTACTGAGGAAAAAAAAAAAACACTCAAAATTTAGCTGATTAAAATAATAGCTGTTCATTTAGCTCATGATTTTATGAGGCAGCAACCAGGGCTGGGCTCAGCTGGGCAGTTCTTCTCATGAGCTTTTCTGGGCTCACTCGTGTGTCTGTGGTCAACTGCAGGTAGCTCATGGGCAGGCGTTTTTTAGGCCTCTTCTTTGCATCATATTTATTAATTTCTCATTGGCCAAAGCAAGTCCCGTAAGCAATTCAGATTCAAGGGATGAGACAGGAAATTCGATGACCCCATTGATAAGAGGAAACGAACATGTGGCCATTTTGCCATCACCACAACTTCCTTTTCTAGTCTCAGCTCTTTGCATCCCTTTCTTCATCTCCACGGACGCTGCTCCAGCCAAACTGAACTGCTTACAGCTCCCCATCCTGCCTTGTTCCTCTAGGCTTCCAGGCTGTGGTTCAGGCTGATGCCTTGCCTGCTATGCTCCTGCATGACTCACCTAGCTTAATCCAGCGGGGTCCCATCCTAGATGTCCCTTCCTCCAGGAAGCCTTCTCTCATCTCTAGACAAGAGTAGGTATTCTTTCTCGGCGTTCTACGGGCTTCCTCTTCCAACCCCTACGAGGCTCTGTTACAAATGTCTGTTTTCTTGTCTCTTCCTCCCACAAGACTATAAGGGACTTGAGAGCAAGGTTTTTTTACTCTTGCATACTTGATATCTAGTACCAGAAAGTAGGAGCACAGTATTGGTCTACTGACTAACTGCATATGAATGAGGAAAAGAAAAGCAGATATAGGAAATCGTGTTGTACATCTGTAAGCACCAGACATATCATGAGCATAGAATCTTTGTGTTGGAGGGGACTTTGGTCATCTTCTTGTCTATGCATAAATCCTTGGTGCAACATGGTTAAAAATTGCTCCTCAGTCCATCAGACACAGCCGTGGGGAAGAGAAAGTCTCCCGTTCATCAGAGCTCATTCTATTGCTGAGCTGTTTTCAGGCTTAAAACTTTCTCTTTGCCATTGAGCCCAAATCTAGTGCCTCCTGCCTGTTGTGCGAGACCTTCCATCTGAAGCCTCAAAGGACAAGATTAATCTGATTCCCACACCTCAGGCCTCTTCAACGGAGATCTAGCAACTGTTGCTCTTAGCCTGTTCTTAAAGCCCTCACCATCCTGCTGGCCCCCTCTGGGCAGGCCCCACGTGTCTCTGCTTCTCTTGGAAAATGACAGCCAGAGCTGGACAAGATCTTCCCCTGGGATCGAGAGATGCACCTCTCTGCGAACCAGTCATCAAGACCATGATGGCAGCAGCGAGGTCGGGGAGTGCTGGGAATCGCAGCTCCCATAGAAACAGAACTCAGGCACAAATCAAAATATTAGGATGCCATTTCTAAAAAGCACGGTTTCATCTGGCACTGGCATAAGGACAGCCTGAATCTTTTTTTTAATGTGTTTTTACCATTTGTATCCAGGTCAAGGTCCCCTCCTCCTCACCCCCCACCCCCCCGCCAAAGCTCAAACTTGCCAGTTTTCGAATACGTGTTTCTGGTAGAAAGTGGCAAGAGATATTGAGGTACATTTCATTATGAACAGATAAATAAACAGCTTTGGAATAAAGCAAACAGGGGATCCGACAACTAGGTCCAAACTGCAGTAGGCATGTGCACTAAGGAAGGGATCGAAACCTCCCAGGGCTGTG